CCTTAGCTGGTTGAGCCACAGGCGCCAAGCCTCTTTTACTTCTTTATTTTTCACTGCAACTTCCCTTATCCAGGTATCTGGAAGCTCTTCTCCCAATTTTTTCCCTCTCCTAATTTTTAAATTGAGTAATCTGCACAGTAAAGTGCATAAATATTGAGTATATAGTATGGTGAGTATATAATATATATATACACACATATATAACTAGCACACAGATAGAGAACATTTTACAGTGTCCTAGAGGTCTTGCTCATGCCCCATTACCCAGGTTACCCTCCACCCAGGTAAGTAACCTGTTCTGACTTCTCTTAGTATAAAAAAATTTTGGTTGCTCTTGAATCCCTCTATATGAATGGAATCATACAGTATATTCTGCTTATGTCTTGTGGATGCCATGCTTTAATGTTCTTTCCTAATAGAAACTTGAGGAGAAGCTAGAATTCTGGATGGAGAAATTTGATAAGGACACAGAAATGAAACAGAATGAACTAAATACTCTCAAAGTTGCAAAGGCCAGTGACTTAGCACACCTTCAAGACCTTGCAAAGATGGTAAGTTGGGTAATGAGCTTTTTGGTCAAACGTAGAAGTGGGTGGTGGGCTTGGTGTCTTACACATGTAATCCTGGCACTCAGGGAAACCATGGGCAGGAGGATCGCTTGAGCTCAAGAGTTTGAGATCAGCCTGAGCAAGAGCAAAACCCCATCTCTATTAAAAAGAGAAAAATTACCTGGGCATTGTGGCATGTGCCTGCTGTGATGATGCCATTGCACTCTCTCTGGGGTGACAGGAAAATAAAAGATAAAAGAGGTATGCTTGCAAACCAGTAGGATCCAGTTTAGAATTTTAGATGATGATGATGATGGTGACTATGGGACAAGAGCAGAAGCTAACACTTGATTGGTACTTACTCTGTCCCAGGCACTCTTCTAGTATTTTGCACATATAGCTTATTTAACCCTCACAACCCCTGGAGATACTATTCTTTCTTTCTTTTTTTTTTTTTTTTCTTTTTTTTGAGACAGAGTTTCACTTTGTCACCCTTCGTAGAGTGCTATAGTATAATAGCTCACAGCAACCTCAGACTC